TACATGTATAAGAACAAGCGTCATGTTAACAAATGATAGCCGTACAGTAACTTTTATGCTTATTGTAGCTGTTAGCTAAAAATGCTAATTGACAAACAAATATGATCGACTGTTTCTAGTAGAATTCCAAAGTTGTCATCTTGGACTCTCTCAGAGTACCCCCTCTGTATGCTTGCAGAGACCCCTACAGTAGGGAAACATGCAAAACGGTGTCCAAACCTTTTGTATTTTAGTTTTATTTATGCCTTACACAGCATCCCAACTCTTTAGCTAACTTAATAACTTTAGCTAAAGTGAATAGTTAGTCTAATTCATTAGTGCAGCATTACTGGATCACCTCTGTTTGAAGTGATATAATGTGATATACAACTATCACTAAAACAGCAAACTTTGTAAATAAACAAACAACACCTCTCATTCTCTAAACGTTTGGCCACAGCTGTAGATTACACTATCAGTGCTTGTTCACTCATGACAATAATTACATTTCTAAATTTACTTTGTGCATTTACAGGTAAACAATATCTAATATTTTATCTAAATGACTGCTTTGTCTTTGAAAAGGGTGAAGAGCCTGAGGCCGGTGACAGTCCAGTTCTACTCTAAGTACATCCTTACAGTGGCTCAAAGGACAAGGCCACATTCCTGTCCTGCCAGAAGAGAAGAGAAGCTTCAGAGTCTTCATGCAGTTCAACCACACCTGTCATATTCCATATGACAGGGGTCTCAAACTCCAGTCCAAAGCATTTATTCAAGTTACAATTCAGATTCAATCTGAGCAATTCAAATTTAACTTATTCAAATTCAGTTTCTGATGGCACAGATTTCTGCCCATATATCCTTCAAGTCTACATATAGTCATAGCCAATTACTTTAGCTGTGCATAAATATTTATAGCATATTTATATACATTATAATATATACAGTATATTCGGATTATACATAAATAACCCACATGTTTATATGTGAATCTCTATTTGCTTTTGTGTGTGTTTGTGTGTATTACTTAAAGGATATAGAATCATAATACACATATTGAGCACGATGCTGCACCAACACACAAACACAGTAAAGGTTTGAACAGTTTCAACTATATGACGCACTGGTGGGCATACCTGGTCATTAACACTGAAAAGATGCATTCAGTGTTCTTAATTATCTGCATTCATAAAGTAAATTACCATGTTGTTTTTTCTTCAGTTTGCTGAGATGAACCTGGGATGCTGATCGTACCAGCAGCTGATTAAGGTGTTTATGAAGAACAATTCTAGCGACAGCACAAGCAGTTTTCCCAATTACATTACAGCAGCTTTTTTTTTTGGGGGGGGCGCAAACATTTCTATTTTCACACTAAAGCTAAAACAAAACAAAACAAAACACGATCTTACTTAAAATTTTGAAAACAATATTTCATCCTAAAGCTCTGAGCTCAGTTAGCTATCCACAGTAGCAATTTTTGAGCAGCTTTAGTCAAGCATTTTTTGATAGTGTATATTCACAATTTCCTTTTATTAACTATTAAGTTACAGCACCCCAATATCTCAAATGCTCCTTCTGACCCATTAAATCCTTTCTTAGCAATATATGTTAAATATATTTGGGACATCTTAACCAAACTGGACTAAAGGGGATGTTGTTGTACTACAAATCCATCAACGTCACCTCAGCAGAGGTTTTTAATAGCTGCTCTCAAGTAGTTATTCTTTCACACATAAGCCTGAGAGCATCCTGTCACACTGACTCACTGCTCTTATCTAAAAAAAAAAAAAAAAGGACATAAGCCACACTCTGTCCCAACACAAAAGATTGACAAAACCATGGCTACTGCCTGAGGAAGACAGAGGGAAGATCCACAATATAAGCTGACACACAGCACAGTAAAAAGTATTTACCCTCATCCTGATTAAATGTTTTAATATTAACAAATATAACTCAAGTAAATACAAAATGCAATGATGATTTCAGGGGAAAAGGTCTTGTTCCTTCCTCTTGCAAAAACAAAGCATGCCGTTAAACAACAAAACACAACGTTAATTGACATTTTAATATGCCAGAATTAAAAAACCCTTTCACATAGCACAATTTGACCTGGCAAACAACTTGATTTCAAATTTGAATTTTAAAACACTGTTAAAATGGAGAATCATAGTGTAAAACAAAGTAGGCAGACTTAAGTATATTTCTACTTGCCAAACTAAGAAAACAGTCTCCATGGATGACAAGCTTCTTTTTTAACTGCACAGGAAAGCAGAAAAATGGGCATGTCACACTACTTTTCCCCACATCTTTTCAGGAAAGGAGACAACGTCTTGCCCATTTACTGATTTAACCAACAGGCTTTTGAGCAGAGTGTCAATATCTGTAAATGATTAACTTTTGTAACATCGTTTAAAGCACCATGAACCACGAGTTCTAACTTGTGATTCATGCCATGATAACAGTCAGGTTAGGATTGATCTTTTCACACAGCAGAGTGATTCCTCTGTATCAGCCCTTCACAGAAGCTAAAATATGACATGACTATGCCATTTAGAATGCCATATCGCTATACTGTTGCTTTAGCAAAAATATTTTTGCAATAGAAAATCAGTTTACATTTTCTTGTACAAAGTCTAGGTATGTCTGACAGCTGTATGCCAGCCTCAGATGGCCATTTAGTGCCTAAAAAGGGAGCTACTTCAATGTCAGTCCTCTAACAAGTAGCGTACCAAATGACTTACTCCACTCCAGGAAGCTGTTGAGCAACATAACACAGTACTTAAAGAAAAGAAACACGTAATACATCCCAGCACTGTTTAGCTAGCTGTAGTTTTCACATCAAAGTAGCCAACTGCTGCCCGCTGGCACGCTGAATGAATATAAGTAGCACATACAATATTACACATTGAGTTTATTCACCAGACTTTCCTTTTAATCTATAGTCCTTCTTATTGCTTTAGAAAAAAAAAAATTGATTATGAAACGAGTAATTCTTCTGTACTGTGTCTAAAGGAAGAGAGTAGAAGGCTGTCAAACCAGTGAAGAAAGTAAATAGAACAAAACAGTCCCAAAATTTTTGATGTCAGGGTAAAATCAAGTGATGTGTTACAAAGTGCTGTCCTATTTCATCTGATGTCACTTGAAGTTTATTGACTATACACACGGGAAATGCTAATTTTATCCAGAAAATGGTCTGAATAATTTCTGAAGTGACTGTACATGTTGGAAGCCATTGAAGTGAGCATCTGGTAAAACTAGAAAGGTACTCGGTTAGTATGTTCTCCACCAGGGCCAGTGCGCTATTTCTGTTTAAAAAAAAAAGATTACATTTTTCTTGGGCTCTTGCTGAACCCAAGCGCCACATCTTTTAAGTTTCAATGATATTCAGCTCAATCATTTTTATGTAACAAAAGGCTTTTGTTGGTGGACTAATGATCATCATCAGACTTATTTTTCGTGTGCTATAAATGTTTGTTGTGTCTGGCTCTGAAATTCTTCAAAGTCTCAGGTTGTCAGTGAGGAAGAGCTTTTGTGACATGCTTATTAAATTAATCCTGTTTACTTTATGGATTGGAAGAAATTAGTCCCCAGTGTATTGAAAATTATTGACTGCTGAAATCAGGTTTAATTAGGCACTAATTGATTAAAGTATTAGCTAGACAGTTATCTGATATTGCTTTTGCTTTGTCTTTATCACCATATGGAATATGCCTGAACAGTTAGCACACAAGAAGCAGTAGTGCTAGAAAGAGAGGTGACCTTTTAATGAAGGATAAAAAAAATACATTAGAATTTCTATCACTCAGCTGATATCCTAAATTAGTTTTTGTTTAAAGGTTACAATTGTTTGTTTGCTATAAATACAACCTGTATATTGAGCCTGATGAGGAAACAAATTAAATGTCACAAAACAACTTTGTTTTATTATTTGATCTAGATGGTAATAATAAATTACCTTAAATGAAGAACTGCGGAGTATTTATTTAGTGACCTTCAGATGTAGGTGGTTGCTAGTTAGGGGCGATTTACCTTTTGAACAGGTTTCCCCGTATACATATCAATCTAAGGAGGCTGCTGATGATCTCTGCGCAGGTACATGTGCATTCATGTGCTCGCAACTGTTAACTCGCGCTAAAATTTGACTGCCTTACCTGCCACACTACTGGCTCGACGTGATCAGCTGTGATGGACAGGCAGACGCTCAGCACGACGGTGTGAGAGGCAGAGGTTAGAACACTGGCGATGACGGCGTCCCGCATGGAGAACGGCAACATGGTGTAAACCACAAACACGATGAACAGGAAGAATGACACCTGCGGAGAAAGTCAGACAGTCATATAACATTTGCAAAGAGAAATGGAAAGGAGAAAATAAAAGGAGCAGAAGAAAGGAAAATATAGATGCAAAAATGTGGTAATTTGAGATTTCAGTTTTCTGGACTAAATAGCCAGGTCATATTGGTGCCTTCAGCTTACTTAAGGGGGACAATCAGCCCCTACACTTCAAATCTGACATCTCTAATGTAGCACAAGCAGTGGCTCCCTTTTTTTATCCAGTTTTAACACACATACAATTGTATAAACACACAAATATATATACACACATAGGTTCTCACACACAAACACTTCTTTAATTCACTTTCTGCTGCAGGGTTAAAGCTTCTTGGCTGTTCCCCTGCCTGAATAGAAAGGGTTCAGTCTTCTTCCTGCCTGTAGCCCGGATCTGGTTAACCATCCTTGGTTTATTTGCAGGACTTGTGGGAATGTTGTGTTAGGGTGCAGCAAGATGCAAAGAGGAGAGAAAATGCAGCCAAAGGACAGTGCGTGACTAAAACAGTAATGCCTCTATTAAAGCATGACTAACATGAATGTCTTTGACGCATGACAACTTCTGAAGCTGCTCTTAATCAAATATAGCAAACAATAGATTTTGCATGTCAGATGTGTTCTCAGCACTAGATATATTCCGTTTTTTTATGCACTTGGATAAAACAGACATCCACCATGTGGTATTACTGTTGGGCCTACATTACAATATAAAGCACCTTGAGGTAACTGTTAATGTGATTTGGCGCTATATAAATGAAACTAATTTGAAATGAATTGCATTAATTGTGAATGACCTGACAATTACTTGCTTTATTCTCTCCTGTCTGTGCTCAGATCCAATTCATTTGAATACTTGAGTTCTCACTTACAGCTCCTCTAAGCTCTTATTCATGTGTGAAAATAATATTTAACTACACTTATGAACCTAAACATAAGTAAATATTAAAGTTTTGTCTGGTCCATTAAAGACAAGACACCGATGTTCACATCTGAATAAAAAAAATTAACCAAAAGTGATAGGCCAAGTAATATAACTCCCATCTATAACTTCAGAATTAACAAAAACCACCACAGTAATTTACAGCTTTTTGCTGGATGCTGTAACCACTAGTGTAGTAGACCATGAGTTCTGCAATTACAAGAAGAGCAGAAACAAATGGATATGAACAAATGGAGATCATCATAACATACAAACACTACCTCAAACTAAAAGTTCAAACAGCAGCCTTAGATGATAAATGTCATCTACTTTAAGAATAATGTAAAAGAACCCAATATGTTCCTGATAAGAGTGTGGTGTTATTAAAAAGCCCCCCAGTAGAGCAAGAGCAGACACCCATCCAGATATCTATTAAAAAAAGAATTTCACTTATTCAGTCCAAGAATAACAAACTGTATCCACACAAAAGATAACGTAAGAAAAATAGAAAAATAGAAAAGAATGCATTTTATTGTCACTGTGCACATGTACGATTAGTTTAAGATCAACAGCAACTCCTACCCAGTACACACATGTAAAAAAGATGGGGTAAGGTATCAGCCACTATCTGCTATATCATCAACTATCAAATATTGGCTTTCTTGATAGATTTTGATCGAAAATGTGAAAAACTGCTACATTAATATTTGGCAATCAACTGAGTAAAGCACTTAACATAATAAGACATCAAAGTGCTTGGAAGTACTGATGAAGTTTAAATATTTGAAAAGTCAAACCAATATGAAATAGAGCAACAATGATTTTTAATTGAAGATGATACTGACAGTATACACTATGCATTGATTATGTTTCATTTTATTAAAAAAAAAAAACAACTTGTTGAAGTGCTGACTCCTCAAAAAAAAATGTTCGAAAGGCTGCTGGGATGATGCAGTGTCTCTGTGCATTTCTCAATAGTTGCAGAGCATCTTACTGAACGTAAAGAGCCTTGAAAATTCTGCCTGACATATCATTACAATGAACATCAGATTACTACCATCTGTTACTGACAATCAAATGCATTTACAATTATTTCCTGTTATTATGAGCATATTAATGGTGGTTTCCTGCAGTGTTTCGAGAGTGAGAAGAAATTAATCATTTTCAGCGAAGTGACTGACACAAAGGCCAAGCACCTGAATTACGCTCAATATAAAATTCCACAACCTCCTACTAATAAATGTTCACATTGCTCTAAGATGCATATAACATTTAAGAGTGTTTGAATATACAAATTCAAGCAAAAGCAACAGGTAGCAGTTGAAGTGTATATTTTGCTTCATGCATGGTGAAGCCTTGCAGTGGTTTGTTTTTATTACCTACAGAAGTTCTACACCTCCCTCTTTGTAGAGACAGTGTATAGTCACGAACACCAACATCTGCAGCTGCTTGACCTTCATAGCAACTATGTCTTTTTCTAAATCAGTGGAGCTCATCTTTTTAGATATGCAGTCTGGCATTTCCATTTTCCATTTTATCCAAGTCATTTCACATGTATAAACTAACAACAATTACCATAATAATCCCCACTGCATAAATTACTGACAGAAAATGTTATGTTGAGTATGTGGAGAGAAAATGATTTTCAAAAGATGCAGGAGAAAGTGCAAAGAACCAACAAAATATCTAATGCTGCGTGATCCCCATTTCTATCAAATGCATAGCTAGGGTCCAGGCCTGAAACTGTTAAGATATAGAGCACTACAAAAGAACATCAACATTTAGCTGATAATATCTCTGGAAGACAAAGTAAATTTAAAGTTTATAAATTTGCATGCATCTTGTTTTCCTTCATTTTGGTCCCAGGGGAGATATGTTTTTTTTAATCTCTTTGTGCCAATGCCTGACGGAGCTTTAATTGGGTGCAGTCTTTTTTTGTCATGGTTCAGTTGTGCTGGCAATAATAGTTAGGATCCAAGCATGAATGCAGCACTGAGAAGCTTTAGAGGCCATCTATTGGGAAGCAATGCTGGAACGGGAAAGGAGGCA